TTTCTCTAGTAATTTCTATTTAACCTGTTTATTTATTGATCTAAAAGGTGCATACATTATAAATAGAAACGAAAGTACTAATGTACTAATGTTGTCAAACTCTTTAGTAACCGTAAAATATATATTAAAGACCAAAACACTAATCTCCATGGACCTAGATGGATACACCAAGGTATTGCATAAGAAGCAGTTCTCAGTCTTCTTCTTTTTAGTGTATATACCTACGATATTCATAGCCTACTTGACAAAGACATAAAATGTGTTCAATACACTGATGAAATTTGCTTTTACACGGTACAGAACCCCTATTCTCTCTGTATTAAACAACTTAAGTACGCAGTCTATTCCCTTAAGAACTGGTTTAGTGAGCACAACTTTGTTATTTCTTCTAACAAATCTGCTATTGTAGTATTTATGAGACACAGATTACAAACCCCTCTAAGTGTGACTCTATGTGGACTAGACATTCCTATAAAAAAGGAATATAAATATTTAGGTGTCTTTTTGGATAATAAGCTCTTATGGAATAAGCACATAGAGCACATTCAAAATAAATGTCAGAAAGGAATGAATATGCTTAAATGTGTCACAAAAACTAAATGGGGTGCTGATCCTAATATCGCGCCCCAATTCTACAGGGCATACATTCGTTCAATACTGGATTATGGGAGTATTCTTTACGGTTCAGCATCAGAATGTCACCTACGTACAATAGACAAAATTCAGTATCATGCAATAAGAATCTGCAATGGAGCTATGAAGTCGTCACCAGTACAAGCAATATTAGTTGAGGCTCAAGAACCGCCCCTCAGTATCAGGCGTAACTATCTAGCATCAAAAGAAATGATTAAACTTAAATGTTTTCATTCTGGAAAACCAATATTAAAAAGTATCTATCAGCTAGCACCAAACAGTCTTACTGCCAATTACTGGAAATTGAAAAAGAGTCCCTTATTAGCAGATACTTTTACCAATGAAACTACAAATCCAGAAATATTTTTTAATACATTTCTCATAGTAATATTCCCCGATTACAATGAAATATACACCTACAATAATAAAATTCTTCAATCCATCCTGAGTAGCTTTTTCAACCATCTTTACATTTATACAGATGGCTCAAAATCCAGCGAAGGTACCTACTGGTTATACATTTTACATCAATTATAGCATCCAATGTAAAATCTCCAATAACTGTTCAGTGTACTCTGCAGAAATTTTAGCCATTGAACATGCTCTAAAGTGGCTCATAGACAGTAAAGAAGCCAAGAATGCTGTTATTATTTCAGATTCTAAATCTGTTCTAAAGGCTATAGATAATTTGAATTTTTTTTAAATAAAGAAATCTCAAAATTTATGTAATATGAAAGAATATATGCATACCCTATCTCTGCTGGGAAACAAAATAACCTTTTTGTGGGTAAAAAGTCATTGCGGGATAAAGGTTAACGAAACCGTTGATGTCCTTGCTAAAAGAGCAACCACTCTCAATATCACCAACAACTTTTCAATTTTTAATGACCTAAATAATTCAGTAAAGAATGAAATACGAACTGCTTGGGAGAGACAATGGATGGTTTACACAGAAAAATCTAATAATCATTATAAATTAATTCACCCTACATTGCCACGTCAAATTCCACACCTTACAAACTTCACTATCTTAAGAAAATATGCAGTAACTATTACACGTCTCAAACTTAACCATGCAAAATTTCCATCTCACCTTCATAAGATTGGTATAAATCCATCACCATTCTGCTCATGCGACAATATTTCACTTGGGGACTTAAATCATATTTTCTTTTCCTGTACCAAACAACTATTACAAACTATAGCTTCAAATTATATTTTCCTACCTTACTTAACACTCAAAATAAAAATATTTTTGATGCCTTAATTACCTTTTTAAAACAAATTAATATAGATATTTAAAAAACGTAATTATCCTCTTATATAGAAATATAATTCTTACATTCTCTTACATTCGTAATTATATAAAAGTCTATGGCAAATGGATCATTCCGATGCCAACGCACCCCCCTCCCCCCCCCACACACACACTCTCTCACACACACACTCTCTCTCACACACACACTCTCTCTCACACACACACAGAGTGTTCCTGAAAATTGCATCGCTTTCTCGTACGCATACAGATTGGTATTTAGAGTAGGATAGGTTGAAAATCAGTGGGATGATCGCATCGCCTTCCACTGCAACCCAGATGGATCTATTGTGGCTCGTGCTTCTCAACGTAAACGACACACCTTTAGAGGGAAAATTTACTGTAGGTGATAATTTCTTTGGAAAATTAAAGAAATTATATATGCAAAAATTCTGAATTGAAAAATAGGAACGAAAATGTTTACTTGCACTTATTATTAAGGCTTGTATCTTTGGGGTATAAGCAAGATATGATCTATTCTTTTTTCTATGTTCCGATTTAATTAGTACGCAAATACTAATAGTTTATATTTCACTGGCATTACTATCGGTTGGCATTGACATATTTTGCCTTTAAGGGATTTAATATTTTTGTGAACCCTGTATTTGAATCGCTTGTAAATTTTATATAATATACAAAAATTCCATAAAATAAAGGTTGCTTTTTAGGTAATTCCTATTTTAACTAAATCATTTCAGAAAACCAGGTCATTTTTTATTTAGTTCTGATATACTTACATCCGAAGTCACAAAGCATTTTTAAATAGTTGTGTACCTGTAAATACTTAAATACAGAAACGTCAATGTCAATTTAGAGAATACCAGTTGGGCGATATAGTGATTTTGAACACACTTTGAACCGTTACTGATTTGATCGGTATAATGGTAAAAGTCAAATAAATGAGTTTGTGTTTCCACAACATGTAAACAATGCCAGTTTACCTGTATTTTTAAATATAAGTAATTAAATAACAATTTTGGAAATATGAAGATATATAATTCCCAATCCACTCTACGAAATTATGAAAGTGAAAGCAATCCAAAGAAAAATAATTGAAAAAGCTGAGAATAAAGAAAAGAAAAAATGTATGCATCGACTAGGGATCGAACCTAAAAACTTCGGATTAGAGCCGATTGCGTCTCTACCAGTTGGCCTATCGAGGCACATGGCTGCGACAATTGAACTCTTAGATTTGAAGTCAGTTAGATTTCGACTCTACCAGCATTTCATAGCACTAAAACACCAAGTGTAAAGGCTTCCGGAAAAGCTATAAAAAATGTCATATGCACGAGCTTAAGTACATATTATGACATGCAAGAGCTTTTTCGCTTTGACCTATTTGTTTCAGCAGCAGCGGCGATAACTTGTCTGATGAGAAAATTTGTTATAAAGTAGATACAATGAATTCCTTACGAAAAAGAAAAACCTTTGACGGGGCAGCTTCTGCTTTTTCATCATATATTAGATGTATCAAAAAGAACTATGGAAGAGTCGATTATGTTTTTGACAGTTATCACATACTATCACCGAAAAAGCTTAGATACTGCGGAGACTAGGTAGCGACATTGTTATTTAGGGATCATCAAAGAACAAACTGAACTTACAAGTGTTCATTGTTAATACAGTGATAACTTCTTTGTCTCAAACACCATGTAGTACCAAGCGCACCCTTAGTGCATTTTATGGTAATGAAGAATATGATGTAATATTCAACTATAGATCTATGCAAAATGGAAGGCAAGTAAACCACCCACAATTAAACTGTTTGTCAGTATAAGAAGTAGACTTTAGATTGATGATTCATTTATACTGATTGATGCATTCTTGTGTGTGCTCATCAAAATCAATATCGTTAGCGCTGTTACTGACATAATAGTGATAATTTTTGTTTACTAGCTATTCTTCATCGACTTGGAGTTCAGAAACTTTGGGTGCGCATTGGAGTTGCTCATTCCACGCGACTTTTGCCTGTTCATGATATTCACCAAAAAATGGACCAAAACTTATATTTGCTTTCAGCCGTCCACGCACTATCTAAATCAGATTACGCCAGTAAGTTTGGTACCAAAAAACCAGCCCTTTATAGGACATGTCTGGAATACCTTGGCGTATCATCTGACTGGGCTGACATAGAACAAAAATACTTAGTGAAGTTATTACGAAAAGGATCTTTAAATGAACTTAGATTGAATATTTGCTACCTGCAAGCAGAAGTGCTAAGAGCCATTTGTTAAGATTTTGTTACTACATATTAATGATGTGCTTGTTGACTTAGAACCTTAGACCCATGTTAATTTGGTTTTGCCGTAATAGACAATTATAGTGCCAGAAAAGACAGAAATACACCCAATGTTTAATGAAATACCCCCAATGTTTAATTGTTTAAAATGTGCCAAATCTTCTGTATTTGTAAAAGAACTTAAGTGCTCCTTTTGCAAGGTAGTAAGGAGTTAGATTCACCTGTAACAATCCTTTTTCGATAATCTAAACATGTTTTAATACAATCACTATATGTATTTATGTAGTAACAGGAATCAATACAAAATTATTTATAGTAGAAAATTGCTATTCACCTGACAAGAAAAATAATTACAACATACCTACTTACTCAATTTTCATTCAAGTTTATGAAGTATTAACATGGATGTAAAAAGTTTTGTGATCGAGCTGCTGCCATCCTTGATGACGTTATACCTGAAAAATGTACCAGATGGTAAATGTCCATCCAATCTCTAAAGAGATTGTCGTCCTCATATACGATGTCATAAGAGTGGCTTTAAAGAGAATTAAGAGAACTGGAATGAGATTAGAATGTTGTGCACCGACAAGAGTCGGAATCTGATTGACTTCAAATCTACAAGTTTGACTGTCGCAGCCAGGTGTCTGGATAGCTGGTAGAGGCGTGAACGGCTCTAGTTCGAAGGTTCGATCTCTGATCGATGCATCCATTTTTTCTTTTCTTTAATTCTGATCTTTTTCAATTTTATTTTGGTTTGTTTTCACTTTAGGGAAACTAGAATTACTATTTATTTAACCAATATTTTTTTATTAGTGTCGCAGTACAGGAACATGTATCAGTTGGTTCTTCGTTTGTGATGGTAGAAAGGATTGCAGCGATGGTTCAGATGAAGAATGCCGACCTAATAAATGTCCATTGGAAGCTTTTAGGTAAGAATTTAAGTTTGACAATGTTTTGAATTTGAGTTAAATTGTTTAATAAATTGCCATCTAACAAATTTGCAGCACCATTCGTTTCCAAAATTTTTGGATTTACTTTTCAATTGTCTACTCAACAGTTCTTAAAAATTCAAATTTAACCACATATATTTAGTAGGTATGATCCTTAAGTCTAATTTTTTAACACATTGTCTAAAATTTTCTTTTATTTTCTCTAATAGTTGTAAATCTTCGGGAAAATGCATATCAAGGGCAAGCAGATGCGATGGTTCAAAGGATTGTCTTCTAGGTGAAGATGAGGCCAATTGTCAAGCTATTGGAAGAAAAGGATGTCCTCCAGATACTTTTCAATGCCGAGACGGAAAATGTTTACCGGAATATGAATTTTGTAATGCAATTATTGGTAAGTAATAAAAAAATATATAATATATATAATATATATAATATATATATATAATATATATATATATATATAATATATATAAAAAAATATATTTGAAATGAGGAAATAAATGAAAACTATTTATTCTTAATTTTTATGTTTTACCACTTCTACCAGTAATATTGTCAATATTTTTTTATACATGATGGATGACAGTAGGCGTCTCACTTAAACATAAAAGAAAACGTTGCTAAAATTGATTAGGGTTACGAGTAAAAATCCGCTTATGTAATTACAGTAACACTCTTGCAATCGGAGAGAATTTTGCCCGTTTTTCTGATATTCTTATTCGACTTGAAAAAGCCGACGTGCTTGCTAGAGGAATCGTATCTGAGCTTATTCTCTAACCAGCGTTTTTGAAAGAACTCAGTGCGTCTCTTTAGAAACGCAACAAACAATTAACAAAAGTTTTGGTGTTCTCTACTTGCTGTGCTGTTCGTATTTGAAAAAAGTAGAGCGTTTTCAAAAAATTTATACATGAGTGGCGTTTTGCTGTTCGCACTTTAAGTTTTGACATTGATGGCTAAGATTTGAATACGAATATAAATCAAAGATTAAAATATGGATGGGTCTGAAGTTTCCAGTGTTTCACCAAGCCAAGTAGCTTGGTTTGAAAACAAAAAGCTTGGCTTGAAAATCAAGCTTTTTTTTAAATAAAAAGCTTGGCTTGGCTTGATTTTTATGTCTTTCAAGCTTTCAAGCTTTTTCCCCCACCTTGCCGTTCTCTCGCCGCCCTTTATGTTAATGTTCAATTTAGTCACTGCTCACTGCTAGCCTTTCGAAGCAAGTATTTACAAATATGAGCGCTATCAATATATCAGATATCGAAGAACCCTTTCAAGACAGCGGATCTGAATATGTGGCAGAGGAAGTGGAGGGATTGTCTTCTAGCAGTCCTCGATAAAAACATATTCGAATTAAATCCCGAAAAACAATTAAAAACATAAAGGTCTCTAATTTTTTAAACTTAGTCAAGAACAGAGCAAAACAGTCAAAAAAGCAATATGCATTTTGTGTACAAGAAAATCAATAATAATTAAAATGCTGCATAATATTCTCGGTCTTTTTGGGCATGTAGGGTAGCATACTTGATACTGCATCACTTTTTAATTGAGGAATTTTGGGTTACACTTGTGACAATGTGGACTCGCTCAAGTAGCATTTTTCGTGGGAGGAACGTGGCTACCACGACTTTAGAAACTTTAAAGTGTATTGTCAAAGTTTCTGACACGTAATAGACACGGTTCTACTACGTGGCGGTAACCAAAATGGGAAACTCTTGGGGCAACCACGTTCCAGCCACGTTTCCGGAACTTATATAATCACGTTTACGCCACGTGGCGAAAACGTGGCAAAAACGTAGCGATAACGCGGCGAAAACGTGGCGGCACGGTGGCCGACACTATACGCTGAACTTTTCATACTGCCCTTATCTTTTGGTTGATATTTGTAGCTCGGTCTCCGTCCTGCAAATTATTTCTCCCTTCTCCTTGCTTATTCTCTAACTTGACATAATTAGTAAACTAATAAGTAGGTACATACTGAATAATAATAATAATAATAATAAGGTGTTATAAAAATATTGATTCAGGAATTTTGATAGGCAAAAAGTTGGAACGATTGGAAGTTTACTGTCAAATATAGGTGTTGTAGCTCGAAATATGGGCACGAGCCATTGAAATACTCTATATTTAATTAAAAAGTTAAAATCTGTAAATTTTTCATCTACGAAATTATTTATTTAGATGTCCTAAACAGTATTTTTTATCAACCTTGGTTAATTTAAATCATTAATTATATTTGAATGAAGCTATACGGACGAAAAAAAATTTTAAATAGCACCTTTATATTTTCTCATAGTGGCGATCTTAAAAATGGTTACAAATATGTCTGCTTCAGGAAAAAAATCTCTAAAGTTACAGAAACTAAAAATATGCCACTTTGTAGTTACTTTCATCAAATAAGTGGTAGTTGGAACTAATCTAAAATATTTTTCACCACTTTAAAGTGGCGGTTATCTGACAGCCACCTAGTGTTTGCCACCACATAAGTTAATTATTTACATTGTTGCCAGATCAGCTATTTCTCCACTTATTTAAGAGTTTTTGAGTTGTTCAATAAGGCCAATGGCAGAGGGGAAAATCAAATTTAAACATTTATTTTATTCCTTTTAATAAACGTTTTAAGTGCCGTTCTAAAAATGACTGAACACCCTGTACAAATATAGTGTACATTCAAGAAGATTATGGGAAAAATTTGTATACTATATCTTCTCAGGGATATCGTAACACTGTATTAGTTGTATTATTCATATAACCTCAAAATTTACAATAGATTTCGCCGCTTAAATTTGTTTATGTCAAAGATCACTTAAATTTATGTATTTAATGTTTTATATTGTGTCTGTGTGCACACCCTAGATTTAGATATGATTTTTAAAATTGTATCGACTCAAGAAAAGAGGGGTGTGTTTGTTTCTGCGAGGTTCCCGACATGTGGTACCATTCATTTGTTGTTTAAGTTGTCTATAAAAAGTTGTCGATTGTCGAAAAGTAATCTTTTTGCGAGGCTTCTTGTTGTTTCCCATTTTACACACAAATGCACTCTAGATAAGTCTAAAAACAAAGTAATTTGCGCACAGATCGACGGCACTTTGCTAGTTTTTTTTTTTATTGTAAAGGCGGACAATGTAGAAAGCAGGCCACTAATAGGCAACAGTTACTTCATTGTGAATTTTGAAGGTAAAAGTAACTTTGAAGTGGCTTTTGTTCCACGCAATATGTGGAAATTACTTGAGAGCGTGACAAAAACTACTACAGTTAAACAATCAAGTGCCGCCACTTTAAAGATATATTTATGGTTACCGCAAGGTTACTAAAACTAAGATTACTGTCACTTCTAGGTGGTATTTAAGTGATATGATTTGGTGGTCGTAACTACTATTTTCCACATTCAAGTTTGTGGAACTTTAAAGCGGTCTCGCTTAGTGGCTACGTTTCAAACACCTTCAAAGACAACTAAATAATATAAAACTTTTAAGTGATTTCCAGTGGTGAAATACACTTGGCTACAACTGGAAAAATATAAAATGAAGGTATTCTCACTATATAGGGGTACATTTAGTGATTATAACGTGATAGTCACTAAATCGAAGTGGCGATATATGTTTCTTTAATGCTACTTGGGGAGGAACATTTTCTGGCCTATATTTTGATCTTTTCTTGTAGAGCGTTTTAAATTAGCAAAAGTAAACTCTTCAGATTTATGCGACATCTTAAAACCTATTGCTAAATAATGTTTTTTAATTTCTACTGACGTAACTTTACTGTACGACCAAATACAATAATAAACTTGTCCGTCAATTGAGAGATGAGCAGTTAGATTATAAACTGCTGGTTTACTTTTATAAAAGAATTGAGAGATCTCTCCTCTAGGACAGTTCAAAACATTTTCAAAATCAAAACTGAGAACTGGGGCATTACTTTTGCGGTTTCCATTTCGGTTTCTTTTGGCTGCTTCTTTCTCTTTAATACGCTTCAAATACCTCCCCTTCTATGTGTAACATTAATACACAATAATCATTTATAAAATTTAATCAATGGGATTCTATGTCAAACATAACCCTTGTGTTATTGAAATAATGCGTTCAACAAAAGTTGTATGTGTTTTCTGTTTATAGAACTTTTGTTAAGCATCAGAAATTTACGTTATATAAATAGACAGGTTCTTTAAGGCACATAGATAATAGCTTACATTGTGCCAAAATTGTAACATAGAACCTTATAATTTTAAGCCAGCGATATATCAATGTAAAATTTTTTTAGGTTGTAGTGATGGTAGCGACGAACCACCTCATATTTGCAAAGGCAGAGCGCGAAGGAGAAGAACAGAATACTGTCCATTAAGATGTGGAAACGGAAGATGTAGGTCAAGTGCGATAGCCTGTTCTGGAAGAGATGGTTGTGGAGACGGTACTGATGAAAGTCAATGTTCAGTTTGTAGTAAGTAATTTTTTATTTATTAGATAGGATATAGGTACATTTAATAAATTATTCTAACTGCCCAGACGGCACACATAGTCCAATGCACGTCCATTTTGGATCCATTTGAAGACCAGAACGTCCATATCCGTATTCAGACATCCAGTGTACGCCCGTTTATGATCATTAATTTGACAGCTGCATTTCGATGTCCAGGGGACGTCTGTTTTTGGACTTAATTTTTAGTATTATTTTGTCCATCTTAGCTCATTATTTATTTAGCCTACCAGATAATACCCATCTATATATATTTTTAATAGAATTGGTCATTAAAAATTGACAAATTAAATCTATTACATTTCATTCTATCAGGAGAAGTTTGAAATCTTATTCAATTAGAACCATATCTAGCAAGACTTTTACAAGTGGATCCTTGGTCGAGGTCGCCTAGCGCTTGATTGGCCAGAAAGACAATGAACGTGTCGTGAGTTCGATACCTGCTCTGGTCAAAATTGTATATCGAATGGACGTCCAATGGACCTATTTGCGCCGTCTGGGCGTGGCGTCACCTCAACCACTTTGGTCTGCAGGGCGCTTAATAACGCAAAGCCAGAGAAAGTTGCTTTTAAAAATGGTATAATATGTAAATTGAAGACCATTGACGTTTTTCATAGATAAATTGAAGATCTTACAATCCCAAACTATGGTCCGAATAAAAGAGAAGCATTTCGTAGATAAAATTTTGAATGAAAAAAGTTATATTATTTACAAAATATAAACCTTATGTTTCTGACAAAATAGTTGCGCTTTAATGTTGAACGAATTAAATTTAACCAATAAATAACAAGGGAGAATATATATTGTTAATGGGATTAAACTTTTTTTAATTTCTTGGCATTAAAAGTAACTCTTTAGTACCTAAAATCAAAGATTAAAAAAATAAAAAGTTCAAGAACTATTTTTAAAACTACCGGTATCATTATCATTGTCTTTTCTGAGGTTTATTATTATAGGGTCTATTAGGTTTTTCATTGCTATATTCCCCTTCCAAAATGAATTTTCCACCTTTTTAACGAGCAAACTTTGTGTGAAGTAGTGCCATCTATGATTATTACACACTACTATAACATGAGTAAGCATTTCCCTATTAAAGATCCTCTAGTGTGTTTGATACTAACGGAATCGTTTTCTCGGAAAATTGATACGTTAAACTGCATTCCTGCATTTGTCAGGGTTGGCTTTAATTTTAACTTATTATGTATGTAATAATTGAAACATGATTTTTATTCTTTATTTTATTTGAGATTTTCAAATTAGGTAATGCAAGCTACAGATTGAATAATGAAATATATTGTTGTTTTTATGTTTACCATACATTATTTATACGGGGTGCATCATAAAGGGAGTAACTGAAGTATCTGTTAAAAAATAGAAAAACGATACATAATAGAAGATTTACTATGATGGTTGTAGATAAACATATGTAGTTAAAGAATTTTATTTTATATACTTTATACTCAAAATTGTTTGTAAAAAAGTTTATTTTTTATTAAAATATTTTTAACAGAACCCAATAATTTGTGTCTGTATTATTAAACTCATACCAAGGAGATTAGCTCTTTAGCTTACATTGACCCAAATTTTAGGTTGGTGCTCAATTTACCTAGACGTTTTAGAGGTAAATAAACGGTTATAGATTATTGGTCTTCAATTTACATATCATGCCCTTTATAACTATAACTAATTTTTTTATACTTTTTTAATTATATACCTGTATCTTCAATACACAAGGAAAAGATAATTCAAGTCCAAGACTTTGAGTTTTCTTGCCCTTATTGGACGTCGTATCACATTTGAAATATGGATAACCTTCTTACTCTTTAATACATGTTTTTTTACAATTTAATTATTGTTTCAGGGTGTCCTCTGATCAAGAGTCGCAACTTATAGTTTATTTAATTTCTTCTTCGACTTTGTACAATGCCAAAAATTTTGTAAATTATTTTTATTCTACGAAACGCGTTTTTAGGTATTTACTTAATGAATTGTATGTTAGAATTTTGTAATGCTCAAAAAACTATTTAATTGTATTTTATAGATAGATTTATTTATTTAAAAATTTTTTTTAGGTTTTTAGGTGGATAAGTTCTGTAAAAAATAAATGTCTTAAGTACCATTACTTGTTTTATTTAGTCTAAACATAGAAACTTGAAAGACCTTGTGTAATAGTGGGCAGTTAATTTGTAATAATTAACGTTTAATTATCTTTGTTAATTAATTATATTTAATTTTGAATAGCTCTTACAATATGTTTATATGAGTTTTTTTGTATAAAAGAAATATATTTACTAGGCTATCACCCGATCCTGACCGCTTGAAACCTTAACTAGAACTACCGATACCGAAAGACTCAAGTAATCTTAAAAGAGCAATTGGTATGTTAGCTCATTATGCGAAATATATAGCTAGTTTTTCAGAAAAAATACGACCCCTAATACAGACACAAAACTTTCCATTTGTAGAATCCGCTATAGAATCATTCAATAATCTGAAAAAAGATATTGCTAGGGCTGCAGTCAACTCGATTGATCCTAACATTCCATTTACCGTTAAAACATACCATAGCAGCGTCTTTATCACAAGATAGGCGTCCAGTATCATTTTTTGCAAGGACTTTATCTATTATAGAAAAGGGAGCATACGCGATAGTTGAGTCTCTACGTAGATGGAGGCATTTCCTGACTGCCAAGCTCTTTAAACTGATAACCGATCAAAAGTCCGTAAGCTTCATGTTCAATCAGAGACATGCATCTAAAATCAAAAATTGCGTTTAGAACTGTCATGCTTAAATTTTGACATAACATCGCCCTGCGGCTGATAATAAAGTGTCTGATGCCGCCTTCAGATGTAGCAGCTATGGTCACTAGGGAAATGAAAATCTGATCCAGCTTCATCCTGGTGTCACGCGCCTTGCTCACTCGGTGCGTTCTAAAAATATGCTCTGTAGGCGATACTAAGAAAATTACCTCATCTTGTCCAGTGTGTCAAAAACTCAAACCAAAATTTACTACTACTTTGGGAACCCTTATAAAAGCGACATCTCCGTTTGAAAGATTAGCAATAGATTTTATAAGTCCTATATCGATAAACAAAAACAATTTTTATCTACTGACTGTAATAGATACATTTTAAGATTTCCCTTTGCATACTCTTGCCCATGTTTAAGCTCAAAAACAGTCATCAAATGTTTGGTTGTTTGGTTGAATCCGACCGAGCGGCCTCTTTCTTATCAAGCGAAGTCCAGCAATTCTTAAGGGAGAGAGGGGTGGTGGCTACGAGCTTTACAACATCATATAATCCAAAAGACAACGGCAAACAGAAAGATACAATGAAATCATATTCAAGTCTGTCCAATTGGCCTTAAGAACGAGGAATTGGGACTTGAAAATCTGGAAACTGGTACTGAAGCAAGCTTTACATTCTATCAAGTCGCTATTATGCACGGTAACAAATGAGACCCCGCATGAAAAGATGTTTTTACACCCCAGAAGATTTGCGAATGGCCAGTCAGTACCATCATGGCTTCAACCTGGCCCCATATTAGTAGAAAATCTCATTTGACAAAGTAAATATGACCCCATAGTGCATGAGGCTGAACTTCTTCTACCCAATCTGTTTTACTCACTGGTTCGCTTACAAAACGGCAGGGAATTTACCATTTTAAACAGACATTTAGCCCCAACCCATCAAGAAGAGATAAATGTAGATAGTAGTGAAGATAGTAATCTAGAATTGGAATCTCAAGTACACGTCGACAACCCTTTAACTGAAATACCAACTATCCGGGAATCATCCGACCATCATTGCGAAACGCCCACAAAATCCGAACAGTTTGGAGACTTAAAGATTTCCCTCGTTCTGAAAGAACCCGTTCTAGACCCAAGTACCTAGGTGATTATTTTTAACATGGGAAGGATGTGGTGAATCGACCTTCATTATGTTGTAAATGTTGTTATTGATTTATATGACACTGTCAATTTAGTTGAATAAAGCCTATTATTTCCGGGTTAAACCTCAGTTTCACTACAATATGTATTATTGATTGCCTATATCAATTATCAGGACTGGATCGCCTCCTCCTCACGATATTTTCTTATCTTGAACTTGCTTAATCTAAAATTACTTTTAATGAATCTGTAGAGGAGATATTCTGTGTTAATCATACAGTATTATTGCAATAACTTGAAATTTACGGAATCAAAGACGAAAGGCTGATAAAATCACATCTTTCAAAACGTAAGCAAATGGTAAGAACTACTATGCACTCTCAAGTTTTAAAGTTGGGGAGTCCCTCAGGATTCTGTGTTGAGTTTCATTTTATTCATTTACATAAATGACTTAACTCAATTTAATATTGCAAATACTTTCACTATATATGCTGATGATACTACGATATTATGGCATTACGTCCTTTATATCATCATATCTTGTGACATTCAGAAAATTACATCATGATGCGACGCCAACTATTTGTGTCTAAATATGGTAAAAACAAAAATACTAACCCTTATAGGAAGTCATAACATGTGAATATACTGATACAATAAAATTTCTGGGGCGGCGGTTTGGTTTAGCAGGTTCACTAGTGTGTATCGATATATGCAGTCCAGCAGGGTCCCCCGCAATTACTACTTTGATGTGTGACTATACAAGAAAAGTCGGCGTACCAATAAAACTGCCCCCGTAGTTGCATACCACCGCTAGCCAGGTTCAATATCAATAAGTACGAGATATATTGACAGGTGTGTCATCTTTCGGAGGACATATAAAGCCGTCGAGTATATGGAAGTTGAACTCGTTAAAGAATACCTTTGCTTGGACTACCAGAGGATTCGGCAAAAGTTCTGGTATTTGGGGGTACTGTGTTCAGAAGCATTGATGTTTAAACCAACGTTAAATAAATTAGTAAAAAAATTAATAATAAATCTTCTGGGAATTGATTTAGACAATAATTAGAATTGTAAGAACCACATAGAATTTCTAACACAAGACTGTCTTCTGAATGTTTTACAATCAGAACTGTTGCAAAAGAATAGTTATTTGTGGTACTAATATGTTATGTTGCAAATAAGTCACGCGAGAAAGATTTATACCACGAGGGCGTCAAGTCGAGTTAGGAAACATAACACACGAGTGGCATAAAATGTTTTATCCAAAAAACAAGTGGAAGAAATCGTTTTTTTATCAGATAATAATTAATAAGTTTTTTGATCAAATCAAAGCTACTTGCGTCCCAGTACCCTATAAATGTCAAAATGATTTGACAGTGTGTCGACGTCTTTCAGCACTATCAGCAGCTGTACCGATATGGGAGCGTCTGGTTCTAATGAACCAACGAATTTTACGATGACTTCAAATTCGAATAAACCGTTAGCGTTTTCCTTTAATTTCAATATCAATGTTAATTCTGCTTGTGATAGTAATAAATAAATAGAATACTACTTTAAATATGAACATTATAATCCATAACTCACTAGTGCAAAAAAGAGCATTACAATTTTTTTGTGGAATGTTGAGTAATCTCGACACATTTTTCAACCCTCTCGAGTAAGAGAATAATGTCACTAATTACTGTCGACGACATTGAATTGATCAAAAAGTATGATATGGACATCAATGCCATATTTTTAATATAGTTAAAGTGCAAACTGCAATGGGTAAATGAACATCTATCAGAAAAAAAATGTTTAATGTTCATTCTTTTGCATCAGCCATAATGTTGTTATAGTGAGAATAATGCTATACCTAAAACTTTAGGTATGTAATATGAACAATTGATTTCAGATAAAATGCCTACATGGACTAGCAAGTACACGGCTATCTTTATGTCTAGCAAAATCGAATTGGGGGATTTCCCAGGAGCAATTTGAATTTTTCCGACAGTAGGAATATCTACCGTTTTTTCGGTAGATCTACCAATTAGGCTTTTAAGGATGATTCCGTCTTAATCATTCTATGGCTTGATAGTGGTCGCCTAAAAACTAATTTTTTCAACCAGCTCTTCTTGTTTTCAAGCCTTTTACAGTACCGCCATTGTCGTTCTAAATAGGGTCGCCTGGAAAGATATCTGCGTTGCTATGGAGACGGCCGCTTTGACGCACAATTTCAAAGTTATATTGCTGCAGTCGTTCTTATCCATTTAGCAACTTGTTCTTCAGGTTTTCCAAAATTCATCAATTACTTTAAGGCGCTATGGTCCCTTCTAATGATTAAACTTCTGTTAAAAGGTAAGTATGTAAGTATTCAAGGGCTTTAACAATAGCTAAAATTTCTTTTCTAGTATCGCAATAATTCTTCTCAGCTTTTCCCAAGGTCTTACTAAAATACGCAATTACTTTCTCTTTCCCCTTGCCAGTATTCGTTCTTCAAGTCGTCTATTCGGGGGAGTGAATAGCCGTTTTTTGAATTAATCTTCTATAGTCTACACAGAAACGAGTAGATCCGTCTTTCTTAGTTATTAAGACCACAGGTGAGCACCAGGGACCAGAAGCTTCTTGAGTAATATTTATGTCCTGTATCATATTTGCTACTTCTTTCTGCTTAGCACATGGGAGCCTTCTAGGTGCTTACCGTATTGGCCTTGCATCACCGGTATAAATTCTATGATGGACAAGACTGGTAAGCCCCGCAGATTTTCCTGTCTCGAAAATTTCACAGTTGGTATTAATAAATTCTTTGAATTTTCTTATTTTTTCGGCTCTCAGGTGGTCATAATTTTTAACTAGCCGTTTCATAAATTAGCCGTTAACTAAATTACTTGTGGTGGCTTTCCCCGCAGAACCGTCTTCGCACTTGATTATATTCTCAACCGGTGTACAGAACCTATTTTTTGTCCTTTTAATGGTCTTCTCGATAAATTTGCAACCCTTATTGGAATCAGTTGATCTACGTTAACGAGACATCTAGCTACCGGAATTCCTTTACTCACAGATTCTTCACTTTTCACAATGTCCACGTGTAAGCCATGTGATTTCTTGCTGACACGACTGATTCAAAATTTTGGGGTATTTCTATAGCTTCTTCCACTAGGGCCATAAG